CTGCTCTCTTGTCTGCTGTTCACTTCCTGCACCCTCACTCTCTCTCTCTCTCACTGCTTCTCTGTCTCTCTCTGCAGCAGGATGGAGAGAGTTCCTGTCTGTCTCTCTCCAGCAGGCGGAGAGTGTCCCTTTCCGTCTCTCTCTCTGCAGCAGGGTGTACAGAGTCCGTGGTCCTGGAGGTATTGGTCCTTGTGTGCACCTTCTACAAGGAAAGACAGCATCAGGTTCTGTTGGCATCCAGCAGCTGGTCTCACTGTTTGCACAGTGTGACTGCTGAGCCCAGACTGACCCAGGAGAACCTCAGACATGGAGATCCTTTACTGAACTGAGAGCGGGGGAGCAGATTGACGGTTCCCATGTTTTCCCGGTGGGGTTTTAATATAGTCGTCTTTTTTCTGGAACTCAACCCCCCACAGCTCCAGCCCAGGAATCTCGTGGGTTCCCAGGAATCTCGTGGGTTCCCAGGAACGGCCAAACACAAAGTACAGAAGGATCCATAGACTAGAGACGTTTGAGTGGACTGCGAAACGCTCATTAACTGCAATTACACGACGGAATCATTGAATCGTTAGTACAAGTATGGAGAGATGGAGACAGGGAGGGAGGGAGAGATCGGAGAGCTGGATGATCCCAGAAGGAGAGAGAGAGAGGGGAAAGGGGAGAGAGGAGAGGCAGGGAACTTGCACTTGTTGGAAAGTGCAGAGCCAGCATTGCATTTACATCGGAATTCTGTGTTCTTCCCATCGGATGTGCTTATTAAGGTGCCATTTGTCAGTGGGGCGAGCCAGAGGAGCCTGTGATCCCGGGATGATCCTGACTGTCAGGGCTGCGTGGCGCGGTAATTGGATTTACAACTGGAATGACTCAGCCACTGCTGACGGGAATCAATTAGCAAATAGCTAAACGGGCCGAGGAGAGGGGGGCGAGAGCGAGCGAGCGAGCGAGAGGGATCTGAGGAGACGCTGCAGTGTGGCACCCACTTAGACTCTCCGTTTGAGAAGGCAGGCAGTCCACCTGTTGGGCGACTTCCAGTGTGTCTCTTCCTCACACGACATCCATGGTACCAGGGTGAATGGCTGTGGGCAGAGGCAGACTGTGACCACGAGTGGGGGCCAGTGACCACAGCCCGGCCGTCCAGCTGGGAATCCGGCTGCCCAGAGTGGCCAGGCTGTGCGCGTGGAGACAGAGACGCAGAGGGTGAGAGCAGGTCGCTGGAGGACCCGGCTCCTCACAGAACAATGACACGCTCGTCACCAGAGCGGCCCGGAGCCCAGCGTCCAGAGGGCCTTCCTCCTTCCCTGCTGCAGGGCGGGGAGCTGGGCATCGGGGGACACACAGGGCCGGGAGACAGGCGCGGAGAGAGAACAGGCTGGGCAGGGGACACAGCTGTGGCTCTCCGCGGGACAGCGGACTCCAGGGATGGCTGAGAAGAACCCGAAAAAAACATTCTGTCTGAAGCAGAAGAGCTGACTCTCCACCCAGTCTCCCTCTCTCCTTCTCTCCATTCTTTTCACTCCGTCTCCCTGTCCCATTCCTCTCTCTCCCTCCCTCTCTTTTCCCATTTCAAATTCAAATTCTCTTTTCCCTCTCTCCCCTCTCCCTGTCCCATTCCTCTCTTCTCTTCTTTCCCATTTCAAATTCAAATCCTCTTTTCCCTCTCTCGTCTTACCTCTCTCTGTCCCATGTGTCTCTCTCTTTCCCGTTTCTCTCTCCCTCCCCCTCTCCCTCTGTCATTCTGTTTTGACCTTTATACTGTCTCCGTTGCGATCTCCCTGCGTCCCCAGCCTGTGCCCACCAGCAGATATGTGATAGCAGCCCCTCCCTTTTCGCATCAGGAATGCCTGAATACTCGCAGAAAGCTGTCGCTCCTTTCCCTGCTGCCTCCCTGCCTCTCTCCCCGGTGGACTGGAATTCTGGTACAGGCTACCTTAACCAACCGGGGTTCTGCATGTGTCACCCCCAAGCTTCTGGTGCCAGTTCTCGCTCGGGAGAGAACGAGCTATTCAGAAAAGCCCCTCTGGCATGCCCACCCCTCGAGCCTTTCATCATATGGCACTCTCAGAGCCCCGCAGTGCCCGGCGGGCGAGTCTGGGCCGATTGGAGGGCTGGGGCGTCTCTCGCTGACATCACCACCAGCCTGCAGCCACCCGGCAAGTGGCGGCAGAGCTGGGAGCTGAGAGCATCCCTCCCTGTGCTCTGTAATCTGCCAGCCTGCCAACTGTGGCAGTCACCTGGGCAGTCCTGATCACATGACCCGGGGCTATAAAACCCAACCACCCTTACAAGTTAATTTCTTCACTGGAAACCGTCCTTACCCCAGAAGGCCCTGGCCTTACTGTCTGTCTTACAGCGTATTACTTCACTGTCTATACTCCAGAAGGCCCTGTCCAACTCTTTCTGGGGGTAAACTGCTTGGATGACTTTCTCCACACGATACACAGCTCCTGCAGGCGGCTGGCCGGACCATCGTGGCTGACACACAGGGTAAAACGAGCACAGCTTGACACGGAACTGATGGCCCAGGCCTGCCAGTCACAGTGGATTGGGCACGAAACCCTGAGCGTGTGTGACCACCCCTTGTGTGCAAGTGTCTTCCTGCAGGCTGCTGTGGTGAATTCACTAGGCCACGGGCCCTGTCAGTACCCGCCGGCCAGGGCTCTGTGTCTGTTCTCCGGCTACAAAGCATCAGCTAGGCAGTGGCGATACAGGACCGGTTTGGTCAGGGTTCCCAAGATTATTCCTGAAATGGGAGAAAGGAGCTGGTTTGCTCGGCCTTCACTTG